CCCCAAAACCCCAAAACCCCAAAACCCCAAAACCCCAAAACCCCAAAACCCCATAGAGTAGGGACTTGGTTGATAATAAAACTGAGAGTTTTGCAAGTTTTTATATTTTTTTGTGAATGTTATTAAGTTAGAAAGTGAGAGGTGATGTGTTAGAAAATATTGTTTCCTTTTGTCATATCTTTCATCATCATGTCGCATTCTTGGAATATCTCCTTCTCAAGATCCTTACATTCAGCTGAATAGTCAAAATTACTAAGATCTACTGAATAATTTTGATTAAAGTCAAACTTTCAGGGGACAAATTCATAAGGATTTGTAGACAAATTCTCGTTGTTACTTTGAGACTTCTGGTCCTGTTTTATAAAACAAGTGCTTGCAGGCCTGGTCTCTGAAAATGAATACTCAAGTTGTGAGACTGGCAAGTAAAGTTCTTCTTGGGGCTTTGGAGGTTCTTGGAAATGAAAGAACATCTTCTCATGAATCTTTTCCTTTACCTCCTCCTTAGACTGGAAGGGAGGCAAATCTTTTATATTTTGATTACTTTGCCCATTGAAATTAAAGTTATTCAAATTTGGTAAATGGAGCAATTGCTCTTTTCAAGAATCTTGCCCCTTAGGGAAATCTTTAGCCTTAGTAGTCTTGTTAACTACAGTTTTTATAGCAGCTGATTTGATTATTTTTGCTTCTTTCACTGGCTTTGGCGTTTTACGAGGACCCTCATTGCTAGTCTGGAGGAAGTTACAAGATTCAGATTCAACTTTTAGATTCTCCACAACTAGAGGCAAGAATCTTAATAACTCTTCGGTCTTTGCCACCTGAGGATTTTCAAAATATAATTGAGGATCTGCTTCCTCTTGGGCAATATTATTAGTGTTTTTACTCTTATCAATCGATCTTTTATATTCTGTAGCAAACTTTCTGAGTGTTGAATAAAACCTATTTTTAATAGAGTTCTCAGTCCGATTTTTGAAATATTGAACGAGAGAGCACCATTTGGGCCCATATTTTTGGTATAACTGAAATAATAGTCTTTCTTCATCTTTGGTCCACTTCGCTTTATTGATTGTAGGGTTGAGGATATTAAACCATCTTTCTCTGATTTGCTTCCCGCTTCTTCCAGGGATCTCTTTTGTAGCGTCAGCCCACTTCATTGCTCCTTTCCTTCTATTAACCCATTCTCTTAATTTTTCATCCTCTTCAATCGTCCAGGGTCCTTTGATAAGCCCGGGCTTCAAAATCTTAGTCCATCTGTGAAGACACTGGATAGAAGTTCTTCCTGGAACATGCTCTGAGATTTTTCTCCATTGCTTAGCTCCTAGTCTATCTACAGCTTGTTTAAGAAGAGCATCTTCTTGCTCTTGCCATCTTCCACTCTTTTTCATTTGGGATTGAATTTTATTATCAATCCATCACCTTATGAAAGGGGTTTTGGGGTTTTGGGGTTTTGGGGTTTTGGGG